CAAAGAATTTGTCCATCCAATCACCTTACCAGAGTTGATGGCCCCATCTATGAAACCTTTCAACCAGACTAAGACCTCCTTTGACACCAACACAGTCGCTCTGTTATTCTCTCTGATTTTCAAAACATCCTCACCTTTGATCCTTTCCTCTTCGAACTTGAAAGTCTTGGCTTCGATCGACACCTCACACCTCCACCTTCCTACTACTCTAAACCTGCTCTCGTCCATTCCACCTTCCTCAGCCCTCCCAAAATCTCACAGAGTTACCAACACAAACAACATTATAGAACATTTTCAAGCATGTAAAATCCACAATCTCTTTTTTACATCAATTGCATTACTTCAAGCAGCTAATGTGATGTAAAACATATTGCATTCCTGATTCTACGAGCAGCCTTTGTACCACACCCCTTAAGGCATGCCCAAACAAGTCTATGTTAGGGTCTTAAATTCTTAATTCTCACACAAAAACTAATGATTTATAATTTTAATTGCCTTTTAAGAAGATATTTTATTAGGATGAATGAACGAATGTTAGCAAATAGGGGGTTCTTGGAGCTTCAGTGAGCAAGCGAAAAATTTAAAAAGGTGCACACCTAGGCTGAGGTGCAAGGCACATCAGGTGTGTGTCTTTTGGAAGTGCTGCACCTAGGACCTAGGCGGGATGCATACCCTAAAATGCGCCTCACCTGTGCGCCTTTTAAATCACTGGTCAGAATGCAATGTGTATGGACTGTTAGATTCAGTGATAATGGAGTATGATTCAGGCATCCAGTAACACCATAGAGAAGCTTTTTTATTGGAGATAGTAGAACATATAACAATCAATATATGCATGGAAGCAAAGAAAGAGGCCAAAAAGAATAAAGAATATTTGGATATTCCAGGAGAGCATAAGTTGACACAGGTGAAGATGTGCTCAGGTGCTTTCCCTGTTAGAATAACCCATAGCAGCATTTCCAAGAAGTCTATAAGGAGAACACAGTTGCCAAACATATAATATTTAAAATGAATGATTTGGGAGTTACAACAGACACCTTACAGATTCTTGAAATTTACTGCCACTAAAGGAACTTGAACAAAATATTACTGGATTACTGAGAATAGATATATTCAACATACTTAAGAGGGCATACCTTTGGCTCACCCTGTGAAGCCAAAATGGTTCGTAGAAGATCAAATGGATATGATCCAACAGTAGCTGCACATCCTGCTAGCGCTCCACTTACGTAAGACAAGTAAGGAGTCAAATTAATGTGATCCTCTGCATTTTTAACAAAAATGGAAGGAAAAAACAATCACAAAAATAAGAAATATCTAATTGAAAAGTTGAAATAATTCTCGTTACTCAATATTCCAGTGATGTCTTCATAGATATATGAATAGTTACAAAGAAAATACAAAAAATGAAGATGATCAGTTAACAGTCATTACAAGGAAGCTATTTAATATTTTGTTAGTGTCGAGTATGTAGGGGTATTTCTGTCTTTGTGCTTATGTTTAGGTGCTGATGTGTAAGCTTGTGTTAGATCTAATGTCCCTAACTTAAGTAGGGGCACACATGACTTTTCCACAATATTTTTAGTAATATAAAACAAATCTGGCCGAATGGGAGGGTTGACTTTCTCTCATTCCAACCAGACCTTTTCCTCGTCTTCTCTTCTACTCTTCTCCTTTCTCTCTCTCTCTCTCTCTCTCTCTCTCTCTCTCTCTTCTCTTTTCCTTGACTGTTATCAGTCTAACAGGCAGGCTGAACTCTAATATGGTATCAGAGCTAAACTGAACAAATCGGATCTGCCCAGAATTCTGTTCTCTGCGCACCCAGTCTAGGGTTTTCTCTTGCTTTCTTTGCCATCAGTTGGAGATAATGGAAAGGACTGAAAAGGAGTGATCACCCTCTTCCCTTGGAGATTTCTATATCTCCAGTTGTGGTGTTCGTGGTCGGTTGCTGCAGTTTCTAAGAAGCTCTCCCCTAATCGATGAAGAGAAGAGGGCTGATTCGTGTGGTGCAGTGGGTGCCTTGTGTGGTCTGATTTTCGGGTGATCAGGTAAGAGGTTCTATGCATTTTCTTGGTGTGAATTAAATGATAAGTCTGTTTCAGACTGTATGGTGGGATTTCAGATTGTAGTGTGCTAGGGTTTGTGCATTTTTCAATGTGATTTGAAGGGGAAGTGTTCCTCAAACAGTGTGGTGAAGTTTCAGGTAGTCGTGAGGTAGGGTTTGTGGTGTAAAGAGTGCAGTTTACAGCAATATTAAGTGCTGAAATCAGTGTGTAATGTGGTCTAGTGTGCCGAATTCAGCAACACCAGAATTCAGCAATGGGAGACAACAATGATAACAAGACTAGCGTGATGGTTCCTACTGACTACCTGAATGTTCAAATGACCTCCATTAAACTGAATGGAGAAAATTATGTACATTGGGCTAAATCTGTAGAAGTCTTTCTTAAGGTAAAGAAGAAGGTGAAACACATAAGGGACGAAAAACCCTCCACCGATTCTCATGAGCATGATGATTGGGAGCAAGCAGATGCACAGATTATCACATGGTTATGGAATAGTATGGAACCCAAGATTAGTATAAATTTCATGTTTCTTGATACTGCTACAGAAGTGTGGAACCATGCTAAGAAGCTGTCTTCGGGCCAAGACAATACAACCAGAGTATATCAGTTGTATCAGGAATACCATTAATTATTGCTATGATTTGCATGGTCCACCCTCAACTTGGGCCAATCATGCCGTGACTAGTGACAGTAGCTTCAGACAGGAGTCATTCAGCTGATTAGATACCTTCTACATCCACAGGTGTTACTGAGAATGAGATGATGAGTATTCCCTGTGATGAGTATGAGAGGTTTGTTCAGGCCACATCTCAACAAAACACGACCACTCTCGCACACTCGGGTATGGCTTGTCTGGCATCCACACCCAATCCCTAGATTATTGATTCTGGAGCCTTCGATCACATGACTGGAACTCCAGGTGTGTTTTCTTCCCTCTCTCATTGCCCAACATCACAATCTATTACCCTTGCTAATGGTTCCACATCTTCCATTTGTGGTGTTGATAATGTTAACAAGGATCCTATATCCTTATCCTCAGTTTTGTATGTCCCTAAATTTCCTTTTAATCTTATGTTAGTAAGTTGACCAAGTCTCTTAATTGCTCCATTACCTTTTACCCCTCTTCGTGTGTTTTTCAGGATCTCAAGACGGGGATGAAGATTGGTAGAGGGCATGAAGCTAGTGGATTGTATTATCTTGATGGTGGTGGAAGTACATCAACAACTCTCCAATCGTCTCTTTCTCCTCTCCAGTGGCACTGTCGATTTGGTTATCCTTCACTGAAAGTTTTGAAGTCTTTGGTTCCTTCATTGAGTCATCTGTCTGTTTTGGATTGTGAGTCGTGCCAGTTGGGGAAACATCATCGTGTTCCCTTTAGTCCTAGAGTTGATAACCATATGTCGAATCCTTTTTCTTTGGTCCATTTAGATGTTTGGGGTCCTTATAAAGTAATGTCATACAATGGATATAAATATTTTGTCATTTTTGTTGATGATTATTCAAGGATGACGTGACTCTATTTAATGAAAGAAATGAGTGAATTGTTTACCATTTTCCAAAAATTTTATGTTGAGATTCGCAACCAATTTGGTGTTCACATTAAAATTTTTCGTTCCGATAATGGTCGTGAATATTTCTCTTCATCATTTCAAGAATACCTGGACCAACATGGTCGTGAATGTTCACAAATCCTTTTGGAGTGATGTAGTGCTTACTTCTTGCGTCTTGATTAACAGGATGCCCACGTCTATCCTTGATGGTCATTCTCCATTCACCACATTGTTTCCAACCTTGTCTCTGTTTCCTCTTTCTCCTCGGGTTTTTGGGTGTGTTTGCTTCGTTCATAATTTGGGGCCAGGAAATGACAAGTTAGATGCAGTATGTTGGACAATATGGGAAGAAAGAAACTTCAGGATATTCTCAGCGACTGAGAGAGGGGTGGAAGAACTAAAGGCTATCATTCATTTTAGGGTTGTACAGTGGCTGAAATCTTTGGAACTATTCACAGCTTACACAGTGGATGACATGTTGAGGAAGTGGGGTGAAATAGCAAAGTGCACACAAACCAAGTCAGTAATGAATGTATCTTGGACACCTCCACCTACTGGGTTCATGAAATTAAATTTTGATGGGAGTAGTAGGGTGAACCCTGGACAATCAGGGATTGGGGGTGTCTTTAGGGATGAGAATGGGGTCATTTTTGCCTTGTTCCCAGGCCCAATTAGAGTGGGTGACTCCCTTAGAGCTGAGATCTTTGTAGTTATGGAAGGAGTCCAAAAATCCAAGGAGATGAACATCAGAAAACTCTTAATTGAAGGGGATTCGGAGGTGGTGATAGGGTGGCTGAATGCAGACAATAATGGTTTATGGAGGTACAGTAATCAGAGGAAATTTAAGTGGCTGGTGCGGGAGATGGAAGTTAAAATGTATTGGGTCAAAAGATCAGCCAATTCTATAGCTGATGGTTTAGCTAAACAAGGGGCAGAAAGGGATTCAATGTTTTGGGCTAAGTTGTAAYTTTTTGTCTCTACCTATTCTTTTGTTTTCTTGATTGTACTTGGAAGATAAGTGTGTTTGTCTTCCTTATGTAACCTCTTTGGTGAATTAATCAAATTGTTATTGATAAAAAAAAGGACAAGTTAGATGCACGATCTATTAAGTGCATATTCCTGGACTTAGAAACGATATAAGTGTTATCATCCTAGCTCTCGACGTTCCTTTGTGTGTGCTAATGTTACCTTCTTTGAGTCTACTCCATTTTTCTTGGAGTCTGGTGATGTTTTTTCCTCTTCATCACGTCCTCCTCTTCCTCTTTCAGTTGTGGATTCTGTTCCTCTTGTTCTAGTTGTGACCACGTCCTTGCCTCTGGTGCCACCACCTGTTGAACGACCACCTATCCATCACATGTATACACATTGCCCACATGTACCGGCTCCTCCTCCAGCTCCATCATCGTTGACAAATCCGGCAGCTGTTACCACACCAGCCCCAACCCCAGTATTTGATCTTGATCTTCCCATTGCCTTACGAAAAGGTAAACGCAGTTATACCCTTCATCCTATTTCTAATTATGTTTCACTGACTCACCTTTCCGTTTCCCATCACCAGTTCATCTCTTTGTTATCATCTGTTGTTATCCTTAAGGATGTCTAGGAAGACCCTGCCTCTCCAGGATGGTGTCGTGCGATGGAAGAACTCTCAGCTCTGGCCCATAATCGTACATGGGAACTCACCACTCTTCCTCCTGGTCAGCAAGCTGTTGGTTGTAAGTGGGTTTATTCGGTTAAGCACTTACCTAATGGTGTAGAGCGGCTGAAAGCTAGACTAGTTGCCAAAGGGTATTCTCAAACCTATGGTATTGATTACATAGACTTTTTCCCCGATTGCTAAGATTGGTTCAGTCCGTGTTGTTGTTTCTCTTGCCACGATGTATGATTGGCCCCTCTATTAGCTTGATATCAAGAATGCCTTCTTGCATGGTGATCTGCTCGAGGAGGTCTATATGGAGCAGCCATCGGGGTTTGTTGCTCAGGGGGAGGATGGTAAGGTGTGCCGACTAATGAAGGCCATTTATGGGCTTAAACAGTCTCCTCGAGCATGGTTTGGCAGACTTAGTGAGGTGGTAAAGAAGTTTGGTATGAAACAGTGCCAAGTTGACCATTCAGTCTTCAGTCATGACTCTCAGGTAGGGAAGATCCTATTGGTGGTGTATGTAGATGATATTGCCATTACCGGAAATGATAAAATGGGCATTGACAGTTTGAAGATTTTTCTGCATAAACATTTTCAGACAAAGGACCTTGGTAAATTGAAGTATTTCTTGAGGATAGAAGTGGCAAGGTCTAAGCATGGTATTAACTTGTGTCAGAGGAAATATGTTCTTGATTTGCTTGAAGAAACAAGTTTGTTAGGTGCTAAACCAGCTGAAACACCTATAGAAACAAACACTAAGCTAAACAGTGATATGGGTGAAGTGTTTGAAGACCCTGGTAGATACCGGCTGCTGGTAGGTAAACTGAACTACCTAACCATCATTCGGCTAGACATTTCATTCCTAGTTAGTGTGTTATGTTAGTTCATGCAGAAACCTCTGGTTCCACATTGGGATGTGGTTCTAAGGATTGTGAGGTATTTAAAGGGGGCTCCTGGTCGTGGTTTGATATACAGAAGTGGTGGAAAACTTATAGAAGGATATATTGATGTTGATTGGGCCGGTTCTGTATCTGATAGGAGATCTACCACAGACTATTGCACTTTTCTTGGGGGTAATCTGGTGACATGGAAAATCAAGAAGCAGACGGTTGTGGCAAGAAGCAATGCAGAGGTAGAATATAGAGCTATGGCACATACTACTTGTGAATTAGTGTGGCTAAGGAACCTTCTATAGGAGATGGGATACACTGTTGATAATCCGATGAAGCTCTACTATGACAATCAGGTTGCAGTTCATATTTCCTCTAATCCGGTGTTTCATGAGAGAACCATGCACATAGAGGTTGACTGTCACTTTGTTAGAGAGAAGGTGCTGAGTGGAGTGATAGACACTGCATATGTCAACACAGGGAACTAGTGGGCAGATTTGTTTACTAAAGGATTGAGTCAGGGTAGAGTGGACTACATATGTAACAAGCTGGGATTATATGATATATACTCTCTAGCTTGAGGGGGAGTGTTAGTGTCGAGTATGTGGGGGTATTTCTGTCTTTGTGCTTACGTTTAGGTGCTTATGTGTAAGTTTATGTTAGATCTAATGTCCCTAACTTAAGTAGGGGCACATGTGACTTTTCCACAATATTTTTAGTAATATAAAACAAATCTGGCCAAATGGGAGGGTTAACTTTTCTCTCATTCGAACCAGACCTTTTCCTCCTTGTCTTCTCTTCTACTCTTCTCCTTTCTCTCTTTCTCTCTTCTCTCTTTTCCTTGACTGTTATCAGTCTAACAGGCAAGCCGAACTCTAATATATTTCAACAAGAAAATAACAAATGAAAATTCATCATGGAGTTGTAACTAAACCAGAAATTAATCTAAACAATGTAAGGAAGAGGAAACAGTCAGTTGTCAGCATTCATGCCTGGTTGAACATGATGAAATAATTATTAATTAATCTTCAATATAGAGAACAAAGAAAAGGCATCATACAATTAAATGTTCAAAAACCGGCTCAGACATCAATCCTGAAAGCCATTCAGAAGGCAGGCTGAACAGTTCACCCGGTGAAATGATCAAATGGATTGATAGACCAGGTCAACATGGTTTGAAGACACTAATAAAATATCAAACTTAAATGATCCAGATTACTGCTCTGAAATTTGAAGAATGGACCAAGAAAATCTTATATGAAAGCCTCAAAGAACATGTTCTAGAAGAAAGCATACCTGTCTTTGAAGAACCTGCTGCAAACGTTTTCAGTTTATGCAACACTGTAAATTGTATGGCAGTGTAAGGCATAACCATAAGAAGTGCTGGGACATTACCTCGCCAAAATCCCTGTCATAAAAGATTTGTTACACAAGACATGTTGAATATGTAAAGATGCCAATAACCAAATATATAGTTCATTTGAAAGGTTGTTGAATATATAGTTCACATCATAGCTAAAATACTATATAACGGGATGGATTGGTGTGGTTCTTCTACGCCTAGAATACCGGAATATCGAGCTTTTGGTTTTTTTCATGTTGTCAAAGAGTTGAACAATGCAATGTTTTTTTTCGTGTTGTCAAAGAATTGAACAATGAACAAGATATCACATTGTTCGAGGAACCCTAGATGTTGTCGGAGTAAAAGATCGTCAACAAGGGCGTTCTAGAGAGTTGTAGATTCTTATCCAAGACTTGTATCATTTGATGATACCATGTGAATCDCTAGAAACATGTGAAGTGTATGGCTAACCCAATAACGAAAGTTTCGTAAGGGGACTGGAGCAGGCTACCATGAGACAAAAGATCTTCTTTCTGAAGAGATTCGATTCGGAACTATTATATGTCCAAGGTTCAATATTGAAATCATTTCAGAGGTTTTCCCTAACTTTGTCTGTGTCAACAAACAATTCAAAATACCTCGACGTTTTTAGAACAGGTCTGAGTCAAATAGCAATGATTTGAAGCACTTCTTTTTACACTATTTTGGAAACCCAAGGACTCAATCGTATGGATATGTAAAATACAGGATTTCCAAGTCTCCGCTATGACCATAAATATTTTTCTAGATGACCACCCAAAACTTGCCATTTTTGAAAGGAGCAATTGCATTATTGTATATGTAGCCACCTCGAACTTCAAGTTGCATCACTTTCCAATAGGATATCCAAATCCTGCAGAGCAAAGCATGTCCAACTCCAAGACTAATAAAAAAGGTATATCTAACATTCATGGATAAAGATGAATCTTAGAACTTCACATACAAATGAGCAATCCCTCCTCCCTTCTCTCTCTACATCTATCATGTCAAAATGACCATCTCAATTTTTTTCGATAAATGATGAAATTTTATTAAGAATGAGGAGTTGCATCAAAATTTTACAAGACAATCATTCCAATAGGATGCAAGGTGAAACCCCAAACAGAAACAAATTACAACTGAACCAAAAATAGTTCAGACTTACGCACTCCCATCTTTGCAAAGTAATCTGCCATCCCATTTCATAGTTTTCAAGGCGCCAAGGTGAGGCTAGGTGACAGGGGCGCCTAGGCGATGGATTTTTTCTTTTTTTTTTTAAGTAAAACCATATATCCTAGGGTAGTTCCCTAGGTTCCATAACCATCTTTTTTTTTGATCAATTAGGTTCCATAACCATCTTTCCTTAATAAAGATTCATAATTTTCATAAGAGAAGTATAAATTTCATGTTTAAGTCTAGAAAATCAACATTTATTAGAAGAAAAAGAACAAAGTAAAGAAAATTCAAAAAATATAGGGGCTGAACCCCTACTTTTGTTATAGGAAAGAAGAAAAGAAAAGGTGGAGGAAGAAGAAGAAGATGTGGAAGAAGAAAATGTTTAAGTTCTTCCCTTGCTTATTGGTTCAGGTTTTGAATTTTTTGAGGGTTCAATCAAGGATCAAAATTTCAATACGATACGCCCCATATCGGGTGTATTGTATTGTATCTTTGGGGTCCCAATACCTATTTACAGGTTTTTTCGGGGACCCATTTTTTAAATAATATATATATATATATATTTAAAATTGAAATTGAAAACCGAAGAATTAAAAAAAATAGGGGGAGTATCATTGTAAGTACCGATACACCTCTGCCAATACAGAGGTGTATCGATACTTTGAACCAAGGGTTCAATACAGAAGTTAGCAATGTTTGCGTTGATTAAACCCTAACAAAATATGAAAATAATAAAAAGAAATTAGTATACATATAAAATGAATATTCTAGTTTCTATTTTATAATTATAATGTCAAAAAATTAAAAATAAAGTATTTTATAACCCAATGCACAAAACTGTTTGGCGACTTGGTGAGGTGAGCCTCCAAGGGCGCCTTGTTGCCTAGGCGTCACCTTGACAACTATGTCCCATTTGCCAATTGTCATCCCCATTGAACAACTATTGTCATATCTAACCATCCATTTGAATATTTGCATAGATTCCCTATACTTCCAAATTACTGTTTCCGGTTCCTTAGCCATGCTACTATCAATTTAGAATCACCATCGATTAACAGTCTGTCAAAGTTTAGAACCTTTAGATCTCTAGCAATCTGTACTCCTTGCAAGACTGCTTGGAACTCAGCAAAAACTGTATCCCCTATTCCTACCGGACCTGAGAATACAACAACAATATGCCCTTCATTGTTTCTGAACACTCCTCCTATGCCAACCAGACCTGGATTCCCTAGACTGCTACCATCAAAATCCAGTTTGACAAAACCTTCATCAGGGGGTTTCCAAGCTAGAACTGGTTTGCTCCTTACAGTAGAACTTCTTGCTACAGCATCCCAATTTCTCCACAAATCATCAATGAAGAAGTTTGAAAAAAAATCCGAGGATTTAGCCCAATGTATAGCTCTATTTAAGATACATTCCCACACTGCCTCCTCACTCCTTTCTTTATCACTGAAGACTGCCATTTCTCTCTTCCAACACCATCCATATCAAAGCAGCCTTAGCACTTCTCCACATGATTTTCTCTCTCTTCTTTGGCCAACTAAAGGTCGTAGAGTCAAAGAGGCTTCCAATCTGAAGAGGCACAATCCACCTGTGACCAAAAAGATAAAAAACCCTTTCCTAGAGGCCTACAACATAAGGGCAAGAGATTAGGAGGTGGTAACAGATTTCTCCACTTGCTTTGCAAAGGATACACCAGTTAGGGGAAAGACACAGAAAAGGGTCTTCTTTTTTGTGAATGTAGTTGTTTTTCCATGAAAAAATTCCCGACACAAGGGCTCAACCTTGGGAGGAATAGGTTAGACCATATTTATTTTACCTCTCTTCTTTGGCCAACTAAAGGTCGTAGAGTCAAAGAGGCTTCCAATCTGAAGAGGCATAATCCACCTGTGGCCAAAAAGATCAAAAACCCTTTCCCAAAGGCCTACAACATAAGGGCAAGAGATTGGGAGGTGGAAACAGATTTCTCCACTTGCTTTACAAAGGGTACACCAATTAGGGGAAAGACACAGAAAAGGGTCTTCTTTTTTGTAAAGTATCCAATGTGTTTGTTTTTCCATGAAAAAATTCCCGACACAAGGCATCAACCTTGGGAGGAATAAGTTAGACCAAATTTATTTTATAGGGCATGGATAAAGGTTTGGAGCTGAGCACAAAGAAGAGAAGAAAGAGGTATAAGAGAACAAACCCTTAGGGTGCAGAGTCCAAATACGACCATCTTAAAATTTTAGTTCATTTATTGTCCTCTCTTACATTCTTAGAAAAGACGATTTTAGAACTTTAACATACAAATGAACAAACCAAACAAAGAAAATATGCTTGAACAGATTCTGGAAATAAGATTCTAGAACCTGCTCTAGAAATGACACCTACCAAACCATGTGGAAAGGGACGGACTCTTTGATAAATTAATGAAAACCAATACAAAGAAAATATTTTCCATAAGACATTTTTTGAAAAAGTTATTAAGTAAAATTTATCAAAAGGCAAAATATCATTTCTTTTTAATAGATAAAAAAAATTCATAGAAGAAAAATAAAAGTTGGACTGAAGCCCCTAAAAGTGGTTGGGAAGGGGACCAAACAGTGGTTATACTGACCTGGAAACATGTTTACTACAGAATGCAGATACTTGTGTTTGGTTAAAATTTAGGCTATGTTTGGTTAAAATTCTGCTCCAAAGAATCACTATTTGAAGAACGCGCTTTGAACCAAAATTGAGTATTTTTTGCATTAAAGTTCCAACAAAAAAAGGGAAGAAGAAGATAATAGGAACACCTTAAAGGCAAAACACAAATTGATGATAAAAAAATAAGGCAAAACACAAGTTGTATTCAATGTCCAAAGATGATTTATTACAAAGCTCGGCTTGCAGCTTGGATTATACAATGCCAAGAGAGAAGAAAAGGATTACAAACTTAACTAAGAACAGTCCGACGGGAGAACATGAAGGAGAAGAAGGAGATGGAGTTCAAACAGTCTTCCACCTGGAGAAGATTTTTGAAGGGCTGAAGGCTGAAGCAAAAAAATCTGCTCTTCGAGAAAACCAGGATGCAAGGTAAACTTTCATTGAAGATAAGGGAGATAAAGAAAGCTATAGTCATATTGGTAAGGTATGATGTAGTTGAATGGCTTCAAGGTTGTTTGGATGGTGCACTTTCTGCCAACAGAAGTACAGAGTGGAGAAGTCTGAAGGAAGGGGATAAGAGGAGGTATACAGCAGAGAGAAGAAGCAACACCAAAGGCAGCTTTTGTGGCTGTGTTGGAAGTTTTTGGGGAAAGGAAGAAACAGTTGGTTTGTTTGCCTGAAGGAAAAAAAGGTGCAATCTGGAGGGAGATTAGAAGCATCTTGGAGGAGTTCTTGAAAGCGCAGAAGGAAGAGGAAGTTCCAAAGATTTCTACAGAAGTAGTCGAGAACTTTGCTTCTGAGAAAGAAATGGGGGTAGTTGAGAGTTTTGCCCCTGAGAAAGAAAGCAGGGTCAGTTTGATAGTGAATGGCCTAGGTATTAGAAAGTTAACCTGCAGAGTAGAGAAGGATGAATGGGAAAAGAAATTAGTAGCGGTTGTGAAAACGCTACCAGAGGATTGGAGAAGGTTAGCAGAACACCTAATCAAAGTAATGAGATTGAAGGGTCCTGTCTTAATTACACCTTTTGAAGACTGCAAAGCTGTGATAGACTTGCTGGAGGATGAAGTGGAAGTAAAAGCATTGAACTTCCTAGATAGCAAAGGAAAATGTCACAGTTATGAAATGGTCCCCTAGCTCAAACTCAAAGGATTTGGAGTTGATGGATGGAGTCACGGTCAGAATTGCTGGATTGCCTTTCCACCTATGGAAGAAAGAGTTTTTTGAGTCCATTGCTTCATTGTGTAAGGCCCAACTTGATGGTGTTTTCATATTAGACCTTCGGTCAGCAGCCATTAGACTGAGTGGTCAGGGAAATGCTTAGAAAAGAGAGACCAGATACAGTGCTGATCCAAGAATCAAAGCTGTCCAATGTAGATAGGAGATGGGTGAGGAGTGTCTGGGCTTCTAGAGGACTAAGTTGGGCTTTTGCACAGTCTTGGGGGGCCTCAGGAGGAATTCTGACAATCTGGAAAAATGAAGAGTTGGACTGTTCTGAAGAACTAATTGGTAAATTCACAATTACAACAAAATTTAGGAGGAGAGAGGATGGGTTGGAATGGGCCTTAACAAATGTTTATGGTCCAAATTCTTACAGGGAAAGGGAGGAGCTTTGGTAGGAGCTAGCAGCTATAAGGGGACTTTGGGAGGGTCCTTGGATTCTGGTGGTGACTTTAATGTGATTAGATTTGTAACTGAAACAAACAACACCAACCATAGGATCACCTCAAGCATGAGAAAGTTCAACCATTTTGTAGACTCCTTTGAGTTAAGAGAGTTGCCAATGCTACAAGCTAATTTCACCTGGTCCAACTTTCAAGAAGAGCCCCTCTGCTATAAGTTAGACAGATTCCTTCTCTCTTCTGATTGGGAGGAGGTTTGGAGAGGGTTGGTTGTCAAAGCTCTACCTAGACCTAGGTCGAATCATTGCCCAATTAGGTTGTCACAAGAAAAGATTGGGAGGAGGTCAGTGCCCATTCAGATTTGAAAACGTGTGGTTGCTTCACCCGGAATTTAAAAGAAAAGTAAAAGAATGGTGGATGAGGACCAAGTAGTTTTTTGATGGAAAGGTTACAGATTCTATAAGAAGCTATAAAAGCTGAAAGCTAGAATCAAAGATTGGAATAAAGAGGCATTCGGTAGAGTTGAAGAAAAAAAGGAGGCCATCTCATTATCAAAAGGATTCAAGATTTAGACCTAGTGGAAGCAAGTGAAAGTATGAGGGCAGCAAAAAGGGAAGAGAGGTGGAAATTGAAACTCGAACATGAAGAAATCCTTAAAAGAAGAGACAAGCTGGAGATAGAAATCAAGATGCAAATGGTTGAAGGAAGAGGATGGTTATACAAGATATTTTCATAACATGGCAAATGGTAGGAAGAGGAAGAACTCCATAGCAAGTTTGGAATGGAATGGAGAAGTGCTAACTAGAGAAGAGGATATTGCAAGAGACCTAGTGGAGCATGTTAAATCTATCTTTGACAGCCCTAATAGTTTGAGAGAGTCTCTAGCTGATTTTGAGTGGCAGATTGGTAATAGAGAGTTGATGAATCCCTTGGAGAAACCTCTTGAGAGTCGGGAGATAAAAGCGACACTCTTCTCTTTGGATAGGAGACAACAGCCCTGGGTCTAGATGGTTTTACAATGGCCTTTTATCAAGATTGTTGGGATATTTTAGGGGAGGATTTGGTGGAGGTCTTCTCGGAATTCTTTGTAAGGGGAAAAATTAATTCGGGTGCAAATGCGACTTTTATAGCTTTGATCCCTAAGAAGGTGGATACACGCCATCCTAAGGATTTTAGACCCATCAGCTTGATTGGGAGCATGTATAAGTTAATCTCTAAAGTTCTTGCTTTGAGGATCAAAAAAGTACACACATCTTTAATTCCACCAAATCAAGGGGCTTTTGTAGATGAAAGACAAATCATCAATCAAATCCTAATTGCCAATGAGTGTGTGGATTACAGGAAAAGATGAGGAGAAAATGGCATGATTTGTAAACTTGATCTAGAAAAGGCCTATGACTTGGTAGATTGGGATTTCTTGTTAGATGTTTTGAGGAGCAGAGGTTTTGGTGAGAGGTGGTGTAAGTGGATTAAAGGTTGTATAACTACATGCCACTACTCCATTTTGGTTAATGGAGTAGCTAGACTTCTTTCATGCTAAGAGAGGCCTCAGACAAAGAGACCCTTTGTCCCCCTTTCCTTTTACTCTGATAGTGGATGTTCTAAGTGTGATGATTTCCAGGGCTGACTCAAAAAATCCAATCAAAGGTTGGAGAATTGGGAGACATCAAGTGGTAGTCACACACTTACAAACAACTAAACAAGGGAGGAGTTGTTGTTTTGTTTAATGTAATAGAGAGAATAGGAAAAAATGAAATCATTGCCTCTCTTCTTAAAACCTTTTGATCTTTTAAATTTCTAATAGTAAAACTTTAAAACAAAGTATAAATGATATATATGGTATATAATAGAATGTATTTACACAAATATTTACCAACATAGCAACATGAATGATATTATAATAAGGTGGGTGCCTTGTTGCTATAAGTCAGGGTGCCTAGCCAAGGCACCTGCTTGCCCAGTGATGTCTTGACAACTATGAAGGAAATGAAGAATAATTAGAAAAGAAGTCAAGAGTTCCAGAAGGAAGGGAGGAGGATTATAAAGTTAGAACTATTACCGAAAAACCTTCCTCCCTAAAGATGTCCTTGGATGCTTGCAAGATACCTGTATACTTTGACGTCCTATACAGATCTTTCCGAAGCAAAGCCCATGAAGAAGTGGGCTCTAACTGAACCTGTCAACAAGTCATAAAAAAATAATGAATGAATGAATCTATCAATAGGTATCAATATGGAATCACAGAGATACAGAATGCCCGTATTCATGATATAGAATTGTAGATCAGATCAAAACCAGTGAATCTTAAGGGAAGTCACTATAACAGCACCACTTCCCTATCAGAGCAGATAATTTTGAATCCAACTGCTTTCATAATTTTGAAAGTTGGGCAATTTCACAGTTTCACTTTCACATATTACAGACAAATTTAAGATAAAGCATCTAGGAAAAAACTGGAACACCTATTCTTGTTCTGTCTTCTTTCATTCCTACTCTTTAATTGCATTATCTTCCACCAGTTTAGCAGTAAGCTGATGTATGGACAAAAAAGGTTTAGTCATAGTTCTTCTTGCAGGTTTGCTAAAATCTTTCTAATGATGGGAACAGAATACTTCAAGCATTTCTTTTATGTCCATCATAGCATATAGAAAATTGACTTATTGATTAAAAAAAACATAGAAAATTGACTTTCCAACATCTAGAGCAAAGATCTTGTTCAGATGAGTAGACAGGTCTGCACACTCTCTTGTATCTAGAAAGAGGGAACTATGGCTGCAATTTGGGTGGAATCGGGTTGAGCATTTATTAAAATTTGAATGGGCCCAGTCCAAGGGCCTGAGCCCAATGAACTGATGAAGTGTAAACTCTTCAAGTTGGGTACCTGATTCGCACCCCTAGAGAAAACTTCTATTGGAAAGTATCTCAATCAGATTAGTGCATTTGCTCAACAGTCTGGTCTCTATGCCGTGTTTGTGATGCATTTTGTTGAAGATTAATTAGTTTTATGATGTTTTTCTGAGTAGATGTTTTATGTTAGTTGTTAGATAGGAGGTGGGGACCACAGTAGTTATGTGAGTCCAAATTTTATTATGTTTTTTGAGTGTTATATATGCTGATTTATGTTTTGCCGCCCTATAAGGGCATAGTTGTCTTTGTA